TTAGTACTACCATTATTTTCCTTTATTTACAGAATTTAAATGCTCGAATTTAGTCTCTTCAACAAACCATCCTACAGTACTACCCCATCATAATGAAGGTTCTTTCAACCATTTGTTGCTATTGTACCCTTTACGATTCCTAATTGTTTGCTGGACTTATTCATCGGTTTTTATGACTAGGTAGATCGATTCGGTCGACCTTCATGAATACTAAACTGGAAAGCTAGCTAGGGTACTCTCTAATCTTTTCTATATATATATATATATATATATATATATATATATAGGGGATGATGAATCATAGGAAATCGCAACTGATGAACTACTTCATTAGCTTTGGCTCCATGTTTTTCTAGAATGAGATCTTATGAATGTCGGAATGCGGAGGGAAAAAAAACCCAAAAAAAAAAAGAAAAAAAGAAGAAGAAGGAAGCATTCTGAATAAAGCACAAGCTTTCTACAATTCCTTGCTAAATCAAAAGTAATAGAATTATTTCATTTTTCCTTGTCTTTTATTGGTCATTTGATGTTTTAATCGTTATATAATATCATGCCCCTAAAGAAGATTGGAGATATATATTGGGTTCGAATCACCCAGTATAATAAATAATCTTGAACCTTTGACGGGTGATGTTTTCACAGCACGTTTTACTGATTGCCAATTTAATGAGGTTATTTTCTCAAAATTAGGGGGAGAAAGAAAAGAAATGGCAAATGATATTGCATGGAGTGACCCATCATTATTGTATCTTAATCCTCGAACAAAACAATGTGAAACATAAGTGCAAAAGATTGTGCACTTACAAGCAATTGCAAATCAATTGCCAGATGCTTTTTCAGATACAAAAAGAGTGACTAAATCACATATACCAGCAGTTAATGCTCCAGCTCGTATTGAAATTCCAAAAATAAAATCTGAGTCTCTCAAGAGTCTAAATCACATCTAAAACTTAGGAGACCGATTGGTTCAAAGGATTAAAAATCCTCGAATAAAAAAGAGATCAGAAAATAATGACAACGAAAATGTTCCTGAAGAACCAAAAGGCAAAGAAGATTCCCCTGATAAAAACACTGAAAAGGTGAATGAAGAAATCTCGATCAATTATAATAGTACAAGGATATGGTGGAATAGAGATGAAATTGTAATGATGAGTTTTGCTCTTATGCTGTCGCATGTGAAATTATGAATGGAAGTGATAATCCTGAACCAAAATCAGTTCAAGAATGTCAAGATAGACATGATTGGATAAAATGGAGAAACGCTATGCAAGTTGAATTAGATTCGCTTAATAAGCAAAAAGTTTTTTGATCCATTGCTCTCACACCCTATAATATAAAACCTGTTGGATACAAATGGGTTTTGTACGAAAATGAAGTGAGAAGAATGAGATCATGAGATATAAAGCTAGACTTGTAACTCAAGGTTTTTCACAAAGACCTGGAATTGACTATGATGAAACATGTTCACCTGTTATAAATGCAATTATGTTTAGATTCTTAATCACTTTAGCAGTTTCTGAAAAATTAGAAATGCGTCTAATGGATGTTGTGACTGCTTATTTGTATAGATCACTTGACAGTGATATTTATATGAAAATTCCTAAAGGATTTAAGATGCCTAAAAGTTCAAGTTCAAAACCCAAAAAAATATATTCAATTAAACTGCAAAGATCATTATATGGGTTAAAACAGTCTGGACGCATGTAGTATAATCGTTTAAGTGATTTTTTGACAAATAAGGAATATACCAATAGTACTACTTGTCCATGAATTATTATTAAGAAAAAAACATCTGGATTTGTCATCATAGCTTTCTATGTTGATGACTTGAACATCATTGAAACACATAAAGACATTGATAATGTGATTGCATACTTAAATGAAGAATTTGAAATGAAAGATCTTGGAAAACTAAATATTGTCTTGATTTACAAATTGAACATATGCACAATGAAATATTTGTGCGTCAATCAAATTATAGAGAAAAGATCTTAAAATACTTTAACATGGATAAAGCAAATTCTCTAAGTACACCAATGATTGTCAGGACACTAAATGACGAAAAAATTCCATTTCGTCCTGTTAAAGATGATGAAGAGATTTTTTTCATGAAGTACCATATCTGAATACAATTGGAGCTCTTATGTAACTTGTTAATTGTACTAGACCTGATATTTCTTTTGAAGTCAATTTGTTAGCAAGGCACGGCTTGGAATCAAACTTATATTTCATCATCTTCGAAGAAGTATTGATTTGGGTTTATTTTACTCTAATGATTCGAAACAAGAGTTAATTGGTTATGCAGATGCATGTTATTTATCTGATCCTCATCATGGAAAATCTCAAACTAGATATGTGTTTGCATATGGAGGGACTGCAATTTCTTGGCATTCCCAGAAACAAACAATAGTATCTACTTCTTTAAATAATACCAAAATTATTGCATTGCACGAAGCGAGTAGAGAATTTGTATGGCTCAAATCAATAACACAACACATCAAGACTTCTTGTGGTCTTCCAGTTGAGGAAATTCCAACTATTTTGTATGAAGATAACACAGCTTATATTCACCAATTGGAGGAAAGATATATCTAGAATGATCGGACAAAGCATATCCCTCCGAAGCTTTTTGCATATAGAGTTCATGAAAAATAATGACATTAATGTTCAATATGTCACATCCAGTGAAAACTCAGCTGATCTCTTCACAAAATCACTTTCTACAGCACTTTTCAGAAAACATATTCATAACATCGGAATGCGTCATTTACACAGCATGTGAAGAATTACGGATGTTATCATCAGGGAGAGACAATTAGGCAGTGAAAACTCAGCTGATCTCTTCACAAAATCACTTTCTACAGCACTTTTCAGAAAACATATTCATAACATCGGAATGCGTTTACACAGCATATGAAGAATTACCGATGTTATCATCAGGGAGAGACAATTAGGCATTGCACTCTTTTTGCCTTCGCTAGAATTTTTTTGCCCACTGGGTTTTTTATTTTAGCAAGGTTTTTAATGAGGCAGTATTATTAGCATAATTTATTTCGTCATTCAAGGGGGAGTGTTGCAAATAAGTGAATGACAAAAGTAAAAAACATTTACCCACTAGAATAATTACATTAAATATGAAGAAGGAAAATTGAGGCCAAATGCTTATCAAAGTTTTTCTATATATATGTGACTTTCCAAAGTGAAAAAAGCACCGAGAAACTTACTTTTTCCTCCCTCTTACTTTCTTTATGTCTTTAATTTATAAAGTGAATTTTTCCCCTTCTTAAATCTCATAAGATATTTCATAATATTTAAAGTAGAAGAAAGTTACAATAATAAAATTTCTAATATAGAAGTTAAATAAATCATTGTTAATTAAATAATTAATACTTTTGTATTGAATCATTATATTTAGACCTTGGTTTTATAATATGGATGAATTACTTCTTCAGCTTACAAATCAAGATTTTCTTATTTTTGTTCTTGGAGCGTCTATGTTCCTCAATCCATGGAAATATCAAGAGATTATTTCTTGTATCTGATGAATAAGTTTCGTGTGTTAAGAACACGAGCAAATCATGGTCATAATCAAGATTTTTTTGATCACAAGGTCGTTTTCAAAATCAAATTTTCAGAAGCAATACATTCATACCTTGCCTCTAATATGAAAAAAAATAATTGACATCATGATTCATCAAAGTATACATATTTTCATGGTGTCAAAGTATAAATTGTTTTTGACAAGGTGATTAATTCTCACGGCGGAAGGTAAACAACTAAACATTTCGACAGAGTGAACAATTTGTAAAAAAAATTTAAAATCTCTCTTTACCATACATTCCTCAATTTATGATTGGCAAGAATATCAGAAAATGATTTAAGATTACATCAAAAATTCTAAAACAATCACCACAACCACATTCTTGTCCTTCTCTTAAATATCCATCAACACAAGTTCACCAAAGGGAAATTTATTTGTATCAAGTAAAAATTAGTCCGAATTCATGATATGATCTTAATTAGAAATATGACATAATTATTGCAATAAATGGTCCCAAAAAAAAAAAAAATTCTATCAACCCATCACCTCTTCATCCATCCACAAAATCCACAATTAGTTTCCACCTCCTCTTTCACCATCTCATTCACATTCAAAGACAAAAAAATAAAAATAAAAAAAATCCCTCCCAACAAGTTATGCAACTTCTTATGATCTACAAAAGAAACACACTATATTCCAATCATTAAAAGGCATGTTATACCTTAAACATGGCCACCTTAATTATCAAGAGTAGGTTGAGGAGAGCTTGCATATTGCCCCCCGTGTTTGTCGTAGACAAAATCAACTTTAAATGATGCTCCCTCCGGTCCTCAATATAAGGCATTTTAATTTATTTTAAATTTGACCTACTATGTAATTTTAATTAGAAAAAAATCTTAAAAATATTTTCTAATGATTAGGAGAACGCAATGAACATGAAAATATATTTTTAAGGTTTTTTTCTTCAATAAAAATTATATACTAGGTGAAACATAAGATAAAATCAAATGCCTTATATTAAGGATCGGATGGAGTATAATATATGTGTGATTATGATACATTTTGTCCCTAATGAAGGATTTTGTAATTTACACGAGTTAAGGGATTAGATACGTTAAGTAAAATGTCCCCTTTTGATTTTGTTCTCAGACGAGGGACGAAAGAAACATTTACTAAAAGAAAAGTACTGGACCCAATTTTTATTTAAGTTAAAAATATGAGGCAAATTTAGTAATGAGTTGGATTATCGGGCAAGAAATAGGAAAAGAAAACCCCGATTTATAGTGTAAGCCGAGAACCAAATCCAGGCCGTTCATCTATCATTGTATAAAAACATCGACCGATCAGTGAGTCAGATCCTCCTCCAAGGCTTTACAGACGTTAAATTTTTTGGAATTGGTTTAGGGTTTTAGGGGCCAGAGAGAGAGAGAGAGAGAGAGAGAGAGAGAGAGAGAGAGAGAGAGAGAGAGAGAGAGAGAGAGAGGTGATTAGGTGTTGGAAAAATCGATCGAAGAAAGGGAAAAGATGGACAAGAACATGCTTGGAGATTTGGATAATCTTCCCGAGGAAGATAAGCTCAGAATGAACACCATGATTGAGCAACTCCAAATCCGTGACAGGTATAATCAAATCCCCCCATTCCTCCACCCCAGATTGAACATTATTTGTGTTTGCCTGTGAACCCATTAGGAGATCGTCTTTGATTTGATTAGCTGAAATGCATTTTGTGAATTGTTTGTTTTTTGAGGAACTCATCTGAGCTCGAATTTGAGTTTGATGAGTTTAACTTTGAGCTCAAGATTAAGATTGTTCGTTGAATTCTATTTGGGGAATACTGTGAGAGTGGGAATTCCTGTTGGTGGGTAATTTTGGTAGAAACCCTTTTGAGCTCAGATTTGGTTGTTTAGGTGATGTGTGTTTTGTGGTTCTGAAGTATTCCTTAAACTGAAATGTTTTAGATTCCCTGGTGAATTCTAGTTTCTATAATGTACTTTCTATGATGCAGTGGTCGTGTTAGTTGCAGTATGGATGGATTTGTATCATTAGTTCATGGATAAAGCCAAATACTTCTTAAGATGGAGCTCTGGCAAGCAGGGGATGTTATGTTAGGTTCATTATCATGTAATTAAACAGTAAATTGTCTTATTCTAGGTTTTTACCATATAATTAAAACAGTCAGTTGTTTTACACTGGGGTCATTTGCAATAACTGCTGATCTCTCGAGGATGTTATGTACTGAAGATTGGGTGTTAAAGCTTACATGGGTTCCATTGTAACGTTTGATTCGATTAAATGTATAGGGAACTGCTTTATCCATATTAGCTGATTTTCTGTTGAGTATTAGGGTGAGTCGTATAGTACACGATGACAGAGAGAACAATGTTGCCATTATGCACTATGTGCGGTTGGCTTTTTCCTGTTGATCACCGGTTATATACAAGTGTAGACGAATATATACATAAAAAAAGGTCAGGATAAATCTGCTGTCATGTTTAAAATGTACCGTGTCTTATTCTTGACCATCCTACTTTGATTAGCTGTATGGTCTATAGTTTAAGTTCTTACTATGTGATCCTCTGTCAAGCTGCTTTGTACTTCAGAAAACATGTGCTACCACGTGCTTTCATTCAAATATTGTGAAGTTAGTGGTGTTTACTACTTGTGCCTGTTAGATGTGCCTGAAAGTGTGTTTAAAGTCAGAAGTATCTACTTATTTGGGACAGGGGAGTTAAATTGATTGATTGTTAAAGAGCATATGACTGAGGTTTGATTCATATCAATTTGTGCGTTGATTGATTGATAATCATCATTTCTGCAGCTGGTCATTGGTTTGATTTCTTTTTTTTTTTAAATATATATTTTTGTAGCTTGAGGATGTATAATAATCTGGTGGAGAGGTGTTTCACTGACTGTATAGACAACTTCCGACGGAAAAATCTTGACAAGCAAGAGGAGACTTGTGTCCGCCGTTGTGCCGAGAAGTGGCTGAAGCACTCGATGCGGGTTGGATTGCGATTCGCCGAACTCAACCAAGGTGCAGCAACCCAAGATGAAGTCCCCAGCTCTAAATAGATAGCTTGGTGGTTGAAATATTTAGGGAAAAACAATTCATATGACTATTATGTTCTTCTAGTTACTCTAAAATTATTTGACTATGAGAAATTGATCACTGCCGCCACCTTTACTTTTGGTTGAGAAGTAGCCTATGAAGTTTTGATCGAGATATTCCAACTCAACAATAATAGTTCAAGATGTCATTTTGCCCATCTCCTGATGGAAACTTATATTTAGTGGTATTTGCTTGCAATTGCCATTAATTTTGTTCTATCCACTCTTTAGAGATTTATAAGATTGGTTATGGTATATGCCAATTGTTTGGAGTAATGTTCTTTTCCAATGCTTCATTGGTCTGAAAATGAAACATTTGTTGTTGGATTGGATTGGATTATCTATGATATTTCTAGTATCATTATCCAAAAATGTAGTGGTTAAACTTACTAACCCCTTCATGGTAATTTCATAGGACTTCTATTCTTTAAATTATACCAACAAGAATCTTGATGATGTTCTCTTCAGTATTAAGCAAACAGGCAATAAACTATCCTTTAAAATGCTTCACTCATCATTTGCTTCTATCTCATGATTTCATTTCCCTAATTTATTAAATAGTGAGCTAATGTTCAGTAACACTACTTTAGAAATTGGCACAAGTGAGTAGAGATTAAACACTATTCCCTCCATTCCAAAATAAGTCTCGTTTTAGCAAAATGGAGAAATTCTAAAATAAGTGTCGTTGTCACATTTCAATGCACTTTTTGTCAAAAGTTTTTAAAATTACCCTCAAAAGAGTTAATATTATTGATGGACAATTTTATAATGGGGTTGGTTGAGGATATTCAAGTAATTTTATTACCCTATTTAAGAGTTTCTTAAACTATGTGCAAAGTGTAGGACGACACTTATTTTGGAATGGAGGGAGTATTTTCGATTAAAAAAGATGTTCAAAACCTTTCTTCCTTTTGTTTTTTTCGACATTTATATTGTTGCTTAATGTCCACGACCAAATTATAACAACCGAACTAGGAAATGAATTCAGAAAGGTAACTTACCATTTTTAAAAAAACGAAAAAATCCGGAAAACAAAAAAGAAAAGGGGTGAAAAAGAGAAAAAATTAATTTTTTTTTCACCAAAAAAGAAAAAGAGAAAAAAAATTAAGAAAGAAATAAGTTTTAAGTATATAATATAAAAATGTTTTGGAAAAAAAAAGTATAATAAGAAAAAAGATCGTTCCATTTTCCCCCAAAACACACTCTGTTCTGTTCTCTGTTTCACTGCTCTCTGCCTCTTCTTCTTCTTCTTCTTCTTCGTTACTTCTTCCACTCTCGCAGATCTCTCAGTTCCAATCCCTTAACCTCCAGGTAAACCCTATTATTCTCTTTTCCAAACCCTCGAGTTTATAAGCCTGATAAATTTCAGTTCCTTGAATAACGCGATTCGTAATAGTAGAACTGACAGACTGATGAGGTTTTTCAGCTCATTGGCTTTCTGGGTTTTAATCTTCATCGATTGAGCTGAATTTCATTTTCAATTTCTTCTAGTTGGGAGAATTTTATGGTGGGTTTTCAATGTGGGATCACAAATTTTGTTGATTTGATCGGATCGATGAGTGAGTTTATGAATAGTTCATGGAGGGGTTTTACGGTGTTTCTGGATGAATTAAATCAAATGTTGAGTTTAATTTTAATGGTTTACTTAGCTTAAACCTTGACCTGTGGGGTCCATTTATACATTGTTTTTATTGTTTGGGGTGATGATTGGCAATGTTTAATTCTACTCGTAATTCTTTTTTTTTTTGGTTTTTTTTTTTTTTTGTGTTCATTTCGTGTTAGTAAATGCAGTTACAATTTGAAGCCTTCTTTGTCTCAATTGTTCTGTACTTTCTCATTTTTTAGTTAAAAATGTTTTATTTTATTCTTCTAGTATCTGAATTCTGTGTGATGATTCTTTCTCTTATGTTTTGATTTGCTAAAAGATGCAAATGTCAGTGTTGCTTCTTTGAGTGCTTCTTTGAGAATGCCATATCCTCTTTGAGTAGTAGTTGGGAATATAATCAGGCCGTTTGTGGAACTTGATGAGAAATTTTAACTGTGTTACTTATTTGGCTTTCTTCACTTTCAACTCTGTTCTGAACTTGTGCGGTTTCTGTGCATGTAACTTTTTATCTGGTTGACTTGTTGATTTGAATCAGAATGGTACATGTCTTCCTTGGGTAACTACTACTAGGCGGTTTGGGGAAGTTCTTAAGGAGTTGGAACTGTTTTATACTGCTTTCAATTTCTTCTCTTATTAATGCTGTTCGAAACTTGTGCATTGGCCGTGTTGTGGATCTCATTTGGCATCCTTATTTGTTGCATTACTGATCTCAATCTTGTTGTAGGTTAGCTTTATAAAACCAGATGTTTCAGGAATAACCTCCTAGATATTTGTTATTATGGCAGACAAATATGAGGTGTTGGACTTCGGTAGAATTTTCTGGTAACTCGGCCATTTTAAATTGTGTTTATACAAAAACCACTGTGAATATAGGGAGTATTGCAACAAGTATTGCCCTAAAGTAACAGACAAACCTAACCTAAGAGATGTGCAAAAGTTAGGTCTAGTGAAATTTTGTTGGCTCTTTGTCCAGAACCAGATAAAGTGTGAAATGTGCATCTGGTTACATGTGGGTTGAGAACCAAAATCTTTGGTTTCATGTGAAAAATAAAAGATTTCAGAATGGAGCGGTGATTTTTGTGTAATGACAAAATTACTAGTTCTTGACCATGTTTTGCTGTAGTGATGGCCTGGGTTGTTGAACGGGTAGTTTAAACTTTTAAATAATTGCGATGCAACATTGGAAGTTATTCTTTGCCTTCTTCGTTAGGTACAAGAGTGGCAATGCTCTAGGCAGGGCTTCTTCTTTCTTTTTTTTTTTTTTTTCCCTTGTTTTCCTTTTTCTGTTATTACAGACTTACAGTCCCTGAAATTTCACATAAGTCACGGAATGCGCCCGCACCATTGTTCGGTAACTGGACCCACATTTATTAAAATATCAACAATCTTTTTAAGTTTTGAGAATGCTTCTATATAGTGCGAATGACGTCATTTAGATTTTTTCGTCTTTAATGTAGATTTGCAAGAATCTTTGGTAATTTGTACCTGAAAATGAACCGGATAGTCAAAATACACTGTATAAATTTGTGAGAATAGATTTGAGTCAATTATGTAAATTTGAAATTAGAAAAGAAAAAAGGAAAAAAATTGGCGAGTAGGTACCCTCCTATATATAGTGCATATAACAGTCATTGAGGTTTTACTTGCCTCCTTGTAGCCGCCATTTGTCTCCTTTTCTTTGGTTTTCCTGACCTAGTTCATTTCATTGCCTCCTTATACTGACTTTTCTGAAGGTATGGCTTTTTGTATCATCAGAGTTGAAATACTATTTTCTTTTCCTCTCAGAACTGTTCTTATTGTTTTTCCTTTGCATTTTTTTCATTAATTTCTGTTAACATTTCTGGTTTTCATATCTAGACTGATCCGGCAATACCTAGCAAAAAATGAATTTGATTGTTTTTGTTATCTATTTTGTAAATACCAGGAAAAAGGGTGCAAATTTGATGAATTAAATTGTTTATCTTGTCATAAATGCTGTAGTTGAATTGCTTTTGGTTGGCAGTCTCATTGGGCTATTTGCGTGCACCGTGCTATTTATGTGGTTTTTGGACAAATTGACTCTTGTTGTTTTTAAATTGTTCTCGTGAATCGAATTTTGATTGTTTTTTTTTTCGTGTGTTTTGAGTACTTAAAATGTATGAATTCTTGAGAAATGTACTTAATCTGGATCTATTTTCCTCTCTATGAACTGATACGTAGAGCTTAATTGTTGCTGCTGCTGCTGATGCTGTTGAGCTGTTTGTAATAACTGGTTGCTTTCACATTTAAGCAGGTTGACCAGTGTCTTTAAAAGGATTAATTTTGTTATCTATTTTGTGAATAGGGTAAGGGAATTAATACTGTAAAAAAAGAAGAAAAAAAAGATAGCAGATCTTGTCACAAGTAAGATTCTGGTTTTGTTATTAGTGAGTCTAACTACTGTTTGTTTGGGTTTCTCATCAAAATGTGCAATTTCCATGGGCCTAATCATTTTTTATGTCTTGATACAAGGGTATTGACTTGTTTAGGTACAGTAGTCAAGATATTGCATCTGAGTTATAAGATTATACTTTGTTTCTAACAGTACACGCAGTCTTTGTTCAGTTTTTCCATGTTAGGATTTCCCTTAGTTTCTGTAACCATTACCAGTCATAGCCTAGCGGATCTGGCTATCTGGACAGGAATTCCTTTATTTTGTTATTTTGTTTTGTGAAGACCAGGGTGTCGAGGAAATTTGATGAATAAGATTACAGAGTTTGTGATCTATCCAGGATTTCCACCGTTTTTGCTTGGCAGTCTCATATGCTGTGCAATTTGCGTGTGCCGTGCTATTTTGTATTTGTGTGGGACAGAACCCGGGTGTCTAGGACTGGGCTATTTAATATTAATGTGTGCTGTGCGATTTGTGTGCTTCGTGCTAATGATGTGTTTTTGTTTGACTTAAAATGACTTCTAGAAGGGATCTATTCCTGGCTAAGTTACCATTGTGGAAGTGGATTCTTAGTTGTCATTTGTTCCGGTGAATTGAATTTGGATTTCATGGCTGTGTTATGGGCTGGTTCTTTCTTTCTTTCTTTCTTTCTTCGTATTATTTATTATTATTATTATTATCATTATTATTATTATTATTATTATTATTTTTGGGTGAAATTGTGAAATTCTGTAGATCAACTTTTCTGCTTTGTTTATGCTAACTAGTTGGTCTCATATTTAACTTGATCAGGACATCTCTTGAAAAGGAATTTGTTTGTTTTTATTTTTTATTTTGTTGAGAATTTTGGGAAATCGATGAAAGTTTGATTAAATCAGATTGTGGATCTTTCCCATGTGTGGGGCTGGAGACTCATTGATACGTGCCTCTTTGTTTTATGTGGGGTTTTGGAATCTGAAGAATGGCCCTTAGAAGGATCTAAATTTCTTTTAGTTTTGATTTTGTTCATGTGCAATGGATTTTAATTTGATTGGCTGTGTTTTGGGTTATCAAATACTTAACTTTTTAACACGAATCTGTGAGACTTCTATTTATACTGGATCTATATTTTCACTTCCTTGCAATAATTGACGTCAGAGGATCATACAAGCTCACATAGGTGAATTGAGGCTTTGTTGATTTTGTCACGTTCTTGTCTGTTTGAGTGGTTGCTTTCTTAGTGAAGCGGATCAGACAATTGTTTGAAAAGAAATTCAACTGTTTTTGCTAATTATCTTGTGATTATTGGAAACGGATGGAGAAGATAATAGTTTGGATTGTAGATATTGTTCACAATTCTTTCATCTAAACAAGACTTTGGATTTTGTCACAAGTTAGTATCTAGTGCTGTTTGGCTGGGTTATCCTATAAAACCCTGTGATGCGCGTGCGCAAGCGCCTAGCTGTGTATGTGGTCTTATTAAATTTATTATATTTTCTTTAAATGCTGTAAAGGTCTAAAATCTGACTAAATTGCCAAGCTGTACAATTCCTTTTGTTCTCTTGAATTGGGTTTTGCTTTATTTAGCCGTATAATTTCTGATTGATCACTTATAGTTGGGTTGTGAACTTGTGAAACTGTGTCTGTACGAATGAGGTTCGTTTTCTTTTCTTGTATTTATCAGTAGAGGATATGAGGTATCTCCATTTTTGTTGCAGATGGCAATGCCGTCAGCTGGTGCAGCTGCTGCTGCCGTCCCTAGCGCCCAAGTGGTTGGTAATGCTTTTGTGGAACAGTATTACCACATCCTTCACAGATCTCCCGAGCTAGTGTACAAATTTTATCAAGATGCTAGCATCCTTAGTCGCCCTGATTCTGATGGCACAATGACGTCTGTGACAACCATGCTAGTATGTTTTCAAACCTTTTCATTTAATTTGTTAAGTATTGTTAAGATATTTGTAACAGCATTTTCATCTTTTTGACTACTTGTGGCGCCTTTTGTTTGACTCATTCATGTATGTTAAATCAACATTTGATTTTTGCTCCACCTCGATTCATCTTTCACTGAATCTTCTGAGTACAAGTGTATATTTTGTTATCATATTTGGTTAATAAGCATTAAACTAATCATTAGGCAAAATTCTTAGGATTTTTGTATTTGTACGAAGCTTACACCTTTTCAACTTGATCAGGCAATCAACGAAAAGATTCAGTCTTTTGATTACAAGAACTACAAGGCAGAGATCAAAACTGCAGATGCTCAAGACTCCTACCAGGCGGGCGTTATTGTTTTAGTGACAGGATGTTTAACTGGAACAGACAATGTGCGGCGGAAATTCACGCAGACATTTTTCCTTGCTCCACAAGAGAAAGGATATTTCGTTTTGAATGATGTTTTTAGGTATGTCGAGGAGAGTGAACCATCCGAGGTTAATTCTGTATTGGCAAATGGTGCTGCTGACAACGTTCCTGTAACCACGCCTTTAACATCAGATCCAGGTTGCATTAGTGTTTCCAATCCCACATTTGTACGGCATTGAAACACTGATACTTCATTTATATTTAATCTAATTTATTGATCTTTATTTTCAGAACCTGGTCATGCTCCGGATCGTACTGCATTTGACTCTGTAAATGCCGCAGAAACAGACGAAGCCTACAATGGTCCAGAGGTTTGCGACCCTTCTGATAATGAAGATGGCTCAGTTGTGGAAGTGGAGCCAGTTAATGAGCCACCACCTAAGACAACTGAAGTTGAGTTTGTTCAAGGTGTTGGTCCAGATTCTTCTGCTACCCTAGAGGAAAAGAAATCTTATGCTTCAATAGTATGTTTCCTCTATATATACCTTTTTTCAATTAAGTATTTTGAAAGATGCTGTTGTTCTCATGTTTTGGTATTTTTTTGGTCTTTTATCACTGTTTCTGGCGTTTTCACCTTTCTTTCTCTAACCTGGTTAAGTCTTCTTGCTTATCCTATGAAATTTTATGTAGGTCAAGGTTACCAAATCAGCTACTCGTACTACTCCAGTGTATGTTCCCACAAGCAGTGCAAGAACAACAGCTGTCAATGCCAATCAACAGGCTCGTCGTTCTGAAAAGTCTCTTGTTGAAACACAAGCCCCAGCTCCTGCAGTTGAAAGTGGTCCAGAAAGTAGCAATGTCCATGAAGAAGGTATATATTTTCTATTTTAAGAATAGATCCATCAGTTGAAGAAGTTTGTGCTGCTGTTTATTCTTTGAGGTTCTAAAATGTAAAAAATGGAAAACATAAATGTCTTTGACCTCATGATGTTAAGGTAGCTCTAGTTTCCTAGTACCAGGGTGTGGCTTCTAAAATTAATGCCTTGAAATTATAGGGTACTCCATATATGTCCGCAATCTGGCCTTGAATGCAACTGCTCAACAACTTGAGGAGGAATTTAAAAAATTTGGGCCGATAAAGCATGACGGAGTGCAAGTTAGAAGTAACAAGGTTTGTTTAGGATTATTTCTAGAGATTCCTCTTGCCCCCTCAATTATTGTGTCTTTTCACATTTATGACTTGTCCTGGTTTCTTCTGAGCAGCAAGGTTCGTGTTTTGGGTTTGTGGAATTTGAGTCACTGGAGTCCATGGAGAACGCAATCAAGGTAGGTTTTAGCTTTTATTTTATGCTGCTGAATGTTAGTAAATAGATTATTTTTTGGCGCTAAATGTCCTGGTTGAGCTGTTGTTGTGATCAGTGTTCCTTTCTAGTGTTTGCAACGACCTTCTTTCTTTTTTCTTAATTGTTTATGAGTTCAAAACTCCAGAAGGGAGAAAACTTCCGCCTCTTTCCTTAATTTTCTTGATAGTGTGTGAACCGGTTATTTGTGATTAAATTTCAGTCAAACTCTACGCCTTTTTAAGCTTTTGAGTCAAATTGCAACTTTCTGCGTTGAGATAAACTGCAGCCCTTGAGAACTTAAGATGGATATGACGCTGGAACTTCGAACAATTAAGATAGATATTTTTGTTTCTTTTTTTCTTTTTTATTAACCATCCTGGGCTATAGATATGATATGTGCGACCAAGAGTTTTGACTTTGGAATTTGTTATGCAGTTGATGCGTATTGTATTAGATTTTAAGAACGAGTTCGATGATGCTATTTTTCGCAAAAAGTTCATTTTACCAAATGTCTTGACATGTTAATACTGCTACTTTCTTACTTCTTCAATCATTTGGGTGAATGTGCATCCTGTTATTGAGAAGAAGTATCGTTTTTCAGAGCGTGTGTAACCGGTTTTACTACAGAATCATGGGACTAGTACAGAATTTAAATCTATGTTTTCTTCTGATACTTCGCACAGAAATTCAGTTTGTGGTATTTTGTTCTCTGTGGTACCAATGTTCCTAATCAGAAATATGCAAATGGATTATAGTCATTCCAAAACTCTTCTACGCCATCTTTGCATCATCATTTTCTCCACCTTAATTTCATGTCTAAATCTGAACGTATCCTTCTTCATCGTTTGTCTCCGAGGCATAAAGGCTAGAAATTGTTGGAAATGTTTCTTTTAATGACTCTTTCATGTTATGGATGAAATTGTGTTGTGTTCAGATGACTGTAAGTTGTTTGTTTGTGTTTTTAAACTCCTGACTACCTTTTATGCTCTTCTTTCGTTCTACTTTTGTTTATATAAATATTTTAGAATTGCTGGATTTTTCCTTATCTTTCAAGAACTTCACATTGGCTATTTCGTCCGGCTGTGAGAACCCCCACCACATTATAGTAAGATACTTGTTTGACCTTAAATATTAACATGATAGGCATCGCCCATAAACATCGGGGGTCGGCAAGCTGTAGTTGAAGAAAAGAGAACCAACACACGAGGTAACAGCCTATATATATTCATCACTGAGCTAATGAAGCTAGCGATTTTCTAATCATAGTTTAGTACAAAATCCTATTGATGTTTTGTTTTTCCAGTTGGGAGCAGTGGTCGCGGGAGGTACACTTCTGGGAGTGGAGGTTATCGAAGTGAGAGTTTTCGCGGACGTGGAAACTATGGTGGTGGCAGGGGTTATGGCAGGAGCGAGTTCCGTAACCAGGGTGAGTTTTCGAGCAGACCTAAGGGTTCTGGTGGCCGCAATGTAGAGACCTATCAACGGGTAGACCATAGTGGAAGTGGGAGATTCAGTCGTTCTCATCAAAGTCAAGGTGCTGGTAGCAAAGGCGGCGCTGCTACATCTTCTTCGTAGGCGTTAGAAAAGATAGCTCAATTTTTTTGACTGTGAATGTGAGGCCTTATCATCCAACTCCCCTTTTGATCTGGGTGAAATTTTGAGTCAACTGTAACTTTTTAACTACCAGAAAATCCCATCATCATCATCATTGAAAGTTTTCTATTTTGGAACAATGATTAGAGATAACATGTGATTCTAGTTGAGGTGACAAGATAGCTAGGTGATTGACATTTATAGTGATATGAAATTTTGTTTTTTTGGGAAATAAGTTCGTTTCTTCTTCTTGTGCTCTACCTTGTCCTTTCTCTGTATGCCCCCAGCAAGTGATGGTACCCTATATTCAGTGACAGATGATTCGTTTGTATATCTCCATCAGTCTTTAGGATATGTAATGTAGTTCACCTGACATTCCTATTGGATTACCTATCGGCTTGGCTGGCAATCTGGGTCGGTTTTTCATGATCATAAGCTACCAATTTCAATGATGGAATCTATATTTGTTTCCAGAAGACGAATATATTGCATTTGTAATATGAGCCTCAGCGTTGGTGTTGGATTCGTGTCAGGTGATACGAAGTGTTCACAGTAATAAACACCGATTTTTGGGTTAGATTCATGACGGTATTTGTAACCCCTCGTGATCATTAGTGCCCTTCACCCTGTGTCTGCTAAAGAAATCAAGAATCAAACACCAGATACGCGATGAAAGTTGGCGCAATGCCAACCAACATAAGCAACTCAATAGTTAACTAGATTTTTGCAAATTGGACACGAGATTTGAAGCTGCAAAAGCAGCAGATCCACCAACAACAGCAACTAAAGCTACCACAACCTGCAGTGCCACCTCCCAAGGGTAGTCCTCAGGCACAAAATACACAAAAGCAGGTCCCAAAAACAGCAGCAATATGCTGACTGTAGACAGGGTTGAAGCAGTTGCAGGGTCAGTTGCAGCTGAAAGAACCCCTAGTTCTTCTGCTTTTGAAAGGAGCCCTAATCGCTCGATGGTTGACAGCGACAAACCGAACTTCTCAGCTGCTGATAGCAACCCAGCTTTCTCGGCTTTTGTTAGGAGGCGGAGCTGTTCCACCCTCGTCAGTAGTTTCACTGACGATGAAGTTCCTGACACTGTGGTTCGCGGCCCTGGTTCTCCCAAAGGGAACACAGTTACAGCCTAGTAGTACATTCAATCCTATCCCGTCAGTACAATGGCATAATTCAAGATAAAATTAACAATGTCATCAAATGCATAAACCTTAGAGGATCTAGTTTGTACACAAACAAACTAGCAATGCTAGAGGTGAGATTTCCAACAATGTTGAAGAGGAATAAGGTGCAGGCCAAAAATCAATTCAGGGCTAATTACGAATCTACATTCCATTGATGTGATGGATTGGAAACTGTCTAACAACGATTGATATGAAAAGGGTCTGCGGATTAAACAACAAACATTGTCAGATTACTACATTGCAACAATCAATCATACCGGAGCCTAAATATTATACTCTACTTCCACCTTAATGGGTTATTATCCAACACACTATCAAGTGACATGAATTTCAGGAAGGAGAAATGCAAGTACTAGTAGTAGAACAGTAGTAAAGTGACCTTTTTAGAAGAGGAGACAGTTTTGGTGGCGGTGGAAGATGGCTTTTTTTGGTTGGCCATGGATTGAATCAGGAGTGGGGAGCTGCTTGAGGCCGCAGCCATGGCCTCTATCATCATCATCGTCATCGTTAACCCTTTTTTTTTTTTCTCTCTACTATATTCTCTGCCCTAAACTCAAAAAGAAAATCAAATGAAATCAGTTGGGGGGCTCTCAGTCTTAGGTGGTGGAGCTTGAATATGGAAAGCTAAGGTGATGAACTGATGATGATGATGATAGGCAGAGCTGATCTGAGAGAATTCAGGTTGATGGGCTATCCACGTGGTGTGTAGTGATTGGTACAAATCAATTGCCGAGTGTGTATTGTACTTATATATATTTTGGCTACCAAAAAGTACAAGAATTAAGGAAAATACAATTTGGAGAAAAATTGGCCGATCTACCCAAAAGTTGACATGTATTGTTAGTTTCACCATATTCTTTTTTGATTAGCCAATATTATCTTAAGCTATCCAACCGCTAGCCGATTTTGTCCAATTGGCCAATTTCCGTTCAAATTAATGGAATTATATTAGTTTTAATTACAAAAAATACCTTAATAGTTTTGAAAATTATAAAAACGACCCTAAAAATTTGTAAAAATAACCAAACAGTCTTTTTACACTTTTTATTTAATTTTTTCTGTTTTCTATTTATTTTATTATTTCTCTTAACTATAAAAATATATTATATGATCTTTTTTAAAAAAAACTATTTATTTTTAAACAGTACTGTGCAAATTTATAGATATGTATATTTGTAACTCATGGTTGATTTACATGAACATATTAATTTTTTAATAATATAACTTGATAATAATGATATTATTTTTTTTAATCCTTTTCTCAATTTAAAGAATAATATTTTTTGACTAAAAACCAATTTTTTACATAAAAGTAAAACATTTAGCATAGATTAAAAATTAATATATTAGTACATTTTAATTTATTACAAATTGAATAAACAATCTAGTGTTTAGGGTGTTGAGCTTCATTATAGTAGATATAAGATTAATTCTCACCAAGGATTTTTAACCAAGAGAGTGATTTTATCCACATTTATGCATGGTTTACTAAAGGTGAGAGGGTTGAGTTGGATGCTCAGGTGATTTCAGATAGGAGATGATTATTACTATGTTCGAGGCCTCAATTCTCACTAGGGGGATCTTTTTTTTTTTTTTTAAAGGCAAAGTCCAATATTGGAGCAGATTTTTTTTATTATTATTAAAAAAAAATTCCTGCTAAAGTTAGATGTTAATATCTCAAAAAAAATTATCACAAAATGCTAAACTCTCGCAATGGTAAATATAAATATTTTTTATCAAATATTTTGTACCATTTTTTTTTGCTTTCTATTTGTACTTGGCATTTTAAAGAAAATGTATATTTTAGTTTAATTATTTTTTTAATTTTAAAATACAATCTAAATTCTGTTGAATTATATTGTAATAATACATTAAAGTATACCAATAAAAAAAATTTAATCTATGCTAAATGTTTTATTTTTGTGCAAAATTAGGTTTTGTTAAATAATCTTATTTTTTTGATTGAAAAAAATAGATTAAAAAAATAATATCATTACAGTTAAACCATATTATTAAAAAATTAATATGTTTATGTAAATCAACCATGAGTTACGAATATGCATATTTATAAATTTTCACAATAGTGTTTTAAAAATAAATAGCTTTTTTTAAAAGATTATATAATATATTTTTATAGTTATGAGAAATAGTAAAAAGAAATAGAAAACAGAAAAAGTTAAATAAAAAGTGAAAAAAGACTGTTTGATTATTTTTACAAATTTTTGGGATCATTTTTATAATTTTTAAAACTATTAAGGTATTTTTTATAATTAAAACTAACGGAATTCCGTTAATTTAAACGGAAATTGGCAAATTGGACAAAATCGGCTAACGGTAATATTTGGTAACTAAAAAAGAATAAGATAAAATTGACAACGCATGTCAGCCTTTGGATAGATCGGCTAATTTTTTCCCTAAAACCCCCCTTGAAATTCAACCTATGTGATCCATTTTTCTCGGTAATAACAGTCTAACTCCCAATCCCTCCCCCACACACACACACACAAAAAATGTTAATTCTCAGTTGGAAATATTTTCATTTATCTTTTATAAATCTAATAAATTCAGAACGAGCTCTAAGAAACCAATTAGCACATTTGCTACTAGAAAGAGGAAATCAGGAGTATTTTCACAAAAAGACACAAAAAAAAAAAAGGAAATCAGGAATATACAAATTTTATACATGTTATGAATTATAAAAAGAAATCCTAAAAAAATGGAGTGAGAAATTTTATTGGATTCAAATTCTGATTAAATGGAGACAATGACCATGTCCACCAAAATGATAACAAGGGTAATAAAACTTCATATTTTTTTTGTTTTTATTATACTATTAGAAAATAAACAGTCTAATTTGAAAAACTAAAATATAAGAATTATATGACTTAATCTTGTAAAGCTAATATGAAAAGTTAAATAAAATTTTACTACTATTTATCAATTAAATAAAATTTTATATTCGACGAAACTCATTAGTCTAATTGTAAGACTTATTATATTTTTAAAATTAGATTTTTTTTTTGGAGATGGAGGAATATTATTATGTCTGTTACAAAAAGGGCATAACTATAATTTTACCAAGGGAAGGGCGGTCCCGTTCTTATAATTTTACCAATCATAATTCATAATAAATTCCACCACTCCGTGAAAAACCCTAAACCCTCTTTCACGCACACACACTCGCTCTGTGTCTTTGAATTCAATGGCGGAGCCTATCGTTTCCGTGGATTCGATCAAAGCTTTCTGGCATTCTCAGGTTCACGATGAAGAAAAGTGGGCCTTCAACATGGTATTTATCTCGATTCTTTTTTTTTTTTTTTAATTTTATACAGTATGGATAATTTGTTTCATTCTGTTTGATTTGCTAAAACTTGAATTTCTAGGGCAATCGAACTTGTGAAATTGGGATATACGTTGTGGTTTTCGATCTTTGTGTGCTTTCCGAATGGATAATATGTGAGAGAAATTGATGAATTTGGTACTTGAGAACTAGATTAGAAATTTCTTTGTATCAGTATTGTTAGATTCGGGCCGTAATTTGGTGTTCTGTTACCCCTATGAACTCTGGGCTTTTAGTTTTTGTTTGATATGGGTACTTATTTTTGGTTCTATAGGGAGCGGTTCTCCTTTTAGTCTTTTCTGTTTTATGTGAGCACATGCTGGTTTGATTTGCAAGTTAAGTGGATAAAAAAAGGCGGATGCTCTATTGTTGGCTGTCACTTTTTTTTTGGTGTTTTGGTTTGTTCCCGATGTAGCGCTGAACTTAGGGACTAGGCTTCTTTATACGGACTTGGCGAGTGCGTTGAATTCTAGGGTCTTCGATAGCTTTGTATGTATGATTGAAGATGCTTTTAAACATGGTGTTCTCTTTTTCTGGGTGCAAACTATATGTAACTCTTTATTCGCTTTGCTTCCCTCCATTTTTATCATGATTGGTAGCAACGAGAAAATGTTCTGGCAAAACTCTGTTCATTTGTTTCTCAAAAGCACCTCTTGGTGGCTGTCAATCTACCTTCAAACTCCACATCTTTTTTCAAGATTTCTGAGATAGAGTTCAGTACCGTAAACTTGCCTAGAAGTTTGCTGTTTGCATACCAACATTTCAAACTGTCATCTCTGTCATTCTTTACTTGATTAGTGAATGGACGTCGTTCCCTGCATTCTTTATTCGTTTTCATAAATTGGTTTAGTTATATTTGATCTGATTTGATTTCATTATGAGAGCTCCTTTAATACATTGTGTATTCAAACTTGAAATGTGGTAGCAATGAAACTATATCTAAATTTTTGTCTAAGAATTCAATAGTTATGCATGTTCATCAGGACTTGTTAGGCATTGAACAATTGAGTCCGTCCCTAGTTTATCTTCTTCATACTAGAGCCTACTCTTCTGTTCTATGCATAGTAGCTTGGAATACTCGATCGTTAAGGAATCTTGTTTTGCATTCACATTCCCTGGGCCTGTTGGATCCTCATCTTTTCTTTAATTTTGCAGAAGCTGCTGCGAGCTCTGGGTTTATTTGCTGGTTCAATAGTTTTTATGAGGACCTATGGAGATATGATGGCACCCGCATAAATTCTTCGAATGAGTTATGCATTCCCTCTCTGTTCTGCCTTTTGTACCCAACTGAGGAGGAGGTTCACATCACAGGGAGAATGGATCTTTTAGGGTGTTAGCAGTAATGAAAAGACATCATTTACCATGTCAAATTTTAAGTTCCTTTTTTAAGGTTTTGTAATGATAAATTGGTGCAAGTTGTTGACTGTGGTTATGAATGCTTCTAATCAGATATTGTTTTGATGGCTTATGCAATTGGAAAGGAGCTCCCAGTGTTGGCCTTTAGCTCATAAGCACGCATTTACTATCATCAACCGGATCTTCTTGTCTCTGCATTGCAGATTAGGATTTTGAGTTCAAAGCACTTTGCTTCAATCTTGAAAACAAGGTTAAACATCACTAACACAAAACCAAATTAGTGAATATTACTGACTACCATAATTTAGTTCTAAGAATCAATTTTGCCAAAACAAGTTGGAAGAGTAGCAGGAGTCAATTACCTTGGCCCAAAACGGAAACAAACTTTGAATTAACCCATTTACCCAACAACAAAACTGATCTATTGTATTATCTTGGGCCAGATTCAAATATATCCACCCACCACCGAAAACCATCCCAAGCCCAGCTGGACTGAAACATCACTACATCAGTACATCATGACTAATGTCGTGAGGAGCAAACAAAAACGGACTGAATTAAAGGAAAAAAGGAAAAAAGAAAAAAAAATAGAAATGAGAAAACAAATTGATGTCGTGAGGAGCAGCTGAATTAAAATGAGAGTTGGAGATTTTGACATTTACCACAAATTGATCCTATTTTTATTTTTTTGTTACAAAGAGAGAAAGAGAGAGGCTTGAAGCCTAATTATCAACTATTACATTTTGAGTGTATACACCGCTATGTCATGATAAAGCCATGGTTTGGTCCCTTCTGCCGGGGAAAAATTA